TGTCCGCTCTGCTGCTGTGTTGATTGGCGGTTGTCCGCTCTGCTGCTATGTTGACTGAGTGTGCTTGCAAGCGCCTGCTCAAAGTTCGTTGGCTCAAGCTTTCAACGAACGGTTTGGACATTGTGACGAAGATGTCGTTGAGCAAAGCTGAGCTCGAAGAAAGCCTGGTCATTTTGTTGAAGGCCTACCCGCACCTTGCAGACGAAAGAGACTACGAGCTTGAAGTGTGCAAGGAGATTTGCCTGGCTCCGCTTCATGTACAAGGACAGCAAGATGCATAGTCAAGGCTTGGCTATGGCCTGCGCTACCTTGGCGACTTGGCGCACTATGTTGGCTGGCGGCTTGCCCAGAGACAATTTCATGGAAGGCTTACCAGCTCTTCGACCGCAACGCCAGTCCTATGACCATGGTGTGGAAAGTGAAGACAGAAAATCTTCCTCATGGCCAAATCGAGTTGAAAGTCTCTGAAATGCAAGGAACCCTTGCGTGGCTGGAAGGCAAGATCGATGTTGGGGGCAGGATCGAGGCTTCCCTTGCTGCGGCCTATGTGTGCATAGCAGATGCTATTCCGCAGCTCACGGCCTTTCTGAATGCCACCTACGAGACGGGCCGGCTTCGCTATTGAAGCTGCTGAGATCTGAACTTGACCCTTGTGTCGCCAATATACAATTAAGTTGGGAAAAAGTGCATTGATATTCCAATTGATTGGTGCATTTTGTCTTGTGTATAATTTCTTTTGATACTCAATTTGATTGATGCGCTGCATCTACTGAACCCCTTATATTATATATAATATCACTAATACTGATCCCCTTATACAATATCACTGATACCCTATCCTTATACTTTCGCGGTTGTCCGCGGTTGTCGGGGCATTCCGAATCGTGTGTCGCGCGCCCTTCTTTTCCTTCAAGCACACATCCAATGTGTGTTTTAACCAAGTATTGTTGAAGTAGGCATATAGACTGTATCAAACGAATGCATTTTGAAGGGAACACCTTTTGAAAGAAACAAAGACGACAAGGCATTTGTTGAGGCATTTATATACAACTCACAACATGGGATCTCGCGTTGTACCATGGATGAGCGCAGTACAAAAAGACTACGATTATCTGCTGTCTTGGCAAGGTTCCCTCAGCGTGCGCTAGAGAGGTTGCAACACCTCTTGCAATCTGAGAAAGGAACTCCGATCATTACACAGAAAGTTGCGAAGAAGATCCTCCAGCCTGCTTTTGATTGCTACGACAGATTGTCCTGCCAGTCTATTGATGGCTCACCGATATATTTTTACGCAAGCCGGATTCAAGATCTGCTTGCCTACACCTTGGCCAACTCAGAGCCATACAGAGAATTGTGGAATGAAATGCAAGGTGGAGCAATACTATAATGGTTTTTGAGCTTGTGGCCTTATAATATTTATAACCTGTGTATCTAGGGTTATAACATGGGTATCTTATGGTTATAAATGGGAAAGTTGTGATAGTTGATATATATGTTGGTGCACACTTGCAAATTAAATAGACCAACTTGAGAACTTATAACCACAACATAGGACAACGTAGCAAGTTAACCTACGAGTGTTTATAAGTTCTGCTAAGTTCGGCACGATGACACGACCAAAAACCAGCTTCTTTTCCACCGTCGGCCTTTGCTTGGTTCAAATGGTGTGGCTCGCCCACCTGTGTGCTCGTGGCTGCGTGCATGTGGCTCGCCCATGCAGAAACTCACGCGCCATGACGGAACGCGGGAAAGGTAGCGCCATGGACGCGCACATGGGGCCGTTGCGGCTGCCAAAAGGACATGGCACCTTGACGGCCGCTGACAGAGATGAAATCTGGAAGTGGTACAAAGTCTCCGCCAGTGTGCGGTACCGGCAGCAGTGGGGCAAAAGATGTTTGTCGCTCTCTGGGCAGGCAGCAAATTTGAACGCAGCTCGCGACTATGCCCTGCAGAAGATCGAGGACAATGGGGATGGTGGCCGGGTGGAGCCAGTCACAACGCAGCAGATGCAGCAAGTGACCACCCAGCTGGGGCAGCTGGACCACGCTGTGAAGAACCACGCTGGCACGCTGCAGTATTTGGAGCAAATGTGCAGCCAAGCTGGGCAAGCAGCGTCTGCAGCCAATGCAGCAGCTCTGGCGACCCAACAGTCTTGCCAGCGGGCTGTTGCAGAAGCAGCAATGACCGCTCACCGCCTGGCAAAGTCTGAAAACATGGAGGGCCAGGTGGAAAAGCTTGTGCGCAAGTACCTACAAGAGCATGGCAGCCATCGGAGGAGGAAGCACAAAAGGAAGAAAACGCGAAGAAAAAGCCCGTCTGACCACAAGGAGGAGTCGGCTCAAGAGAGTGATGATGCTGCTGCTGCGCAGGAAGCCTCTACACCTGGAAAGAAGCAGCTGAAAGAAGAGATGCCAACAACCAGCCCTTCAGTCACCTGGCCTTGCTTTCATTTTTCAAATGTTTTGTTTTTGTTCAAGCATAGGTAAAGGGACCAAACTCTGCCAACATGGCGTTCTGTCACTGCAGGAATGTGGTGAAGAAGGGCGAGGGGTGGCATCAGTGATGGAGAAGAAGGAGGAAGAGGATTCTAGCCCATCCAGCCCATCCACGCTCAAGGTGCACAGGATGTCAAAGGACGATGAGCGGCCCTTGGATGAGCCAGAGACGCCCTGGCTAGACCATGGTGCAGGGGAGGCCCTCAGAGAGAAGATAGAAAAGATGAAGGCGGAGGCCCAACCGTCCACCTCGAGAACGGAGACAGGCGCAGAAGACTGAAGGATCTGCGCGGACGAGGCTCGCCCATCCAACTTTTGGCACCTGCAGCGATGACTGGCGCGCAATGGAAAAGAGAATTCCAGCTGCAGTCGTCCAACTTAACAACTTTTTGAAATGTAATTTTCAGCATATGAAAGACTTGC